TTATAAATGTTTTTTATATTGTCATTTTTAAAATCGGAAAGTTCATGAAAATAGGTAGCTATTAGGTTTAACTTACATAGAGTGAGGAACAAAAAATATAATCAGAAAAAAAGAACATAACAAACATAATTGCATCAATTATGCATCAACATAAACACAAATGATAACTTTCAATGCTTACAATACGTTTAGTATCCAAAAAAAAACGCGCGCGGGAGGCTGGCCTCACGTATAAAATAATATTTTATGCGGACTACGTGCCTTTTCACACGCTCCGGTTGCCGGCTATCCGGCGCCGGGTACCCGGTGGTGAAGTGTATGGGCATGGTACGAAGCTTTCACATGTTCCGGCGTAATTAATCCGGCATGCCCATACATTCACGACCGGGTACCCGGCGCCGGATAGCCGGCAACCGGAACGTGTGAAAAGGCACTTAGACTCTCAAATTTCAATGGGCAGTGTCGGCACGAGAGTTAATTATTAGACAAGTGAATAGCGCACGGTAATTTCCCTAATGTGCGGTAATTCCCCTAATCAGTTCTCAAAGCGAGTGCCTACGCATATGTATTATTTGCGGGAATCCCCAAAAAACGTAAATAACTAACGATGACGTAATCATCATCTAGACCCATGTCATCAAAATAAGCAAATCAGAGACCCCCCACCCCCTCTTGGTGCTTACGTAATACTTGAACGGCCCCGACATCTCTAAATCAAAATCATCATCGTCTCAGCCATAGGACGACCACTGCTGAACATAGGCCTCCCCCAATGCTTTCCATGTTACCCGGTTGGTAAAGCCTCGCGCGTAATTATGTTGCTGTCGCGCTCGCACACTCACTGCGGGCGCCCGTCGCACAGTCGCGACAGTAACATAATTACGCGCGAGCGATAGGGATGGGTAGCTTGGGGTCATTGGACGGGATTCTACGTGCTCACGGACCAGGCTTTAGCGGCCTCCACTCCAGAACCTTGCTGCCCCATCGGCCGTCAGTTCTGCGTACTATGTGCCCTGCCCGTTGCCACTTCAGCTTGCTAATCCGTCGGGCTATGTCAGCGACTTTAGTTCGTTTACGGATCTCCTCATTTCTGATTCGATCTTGTAGAGAAACACCAAGCATAGCCCTCTCCATAGCTCGTTGTGCAACTTTGAGCTTCTGTATAAGGCCTATAGTGAGAGGCTACGTTTTCGAACCATAAGTCATCAAATCAAAATCAATCGTTTATTTATGCAATTAGACTCCTAAAAAGCACCTTTAGTGAGTTGTCACCTCACATGCTCGCGACCTGCCACGCTGTCACCATGCCACGTGAGTGTGGCCCACAAGAAGGCAGCGCGCTACAAGGAGCCCGTCCACTTTACTCACTTTCGAAACAAACATTTTACATAGTAAGAATACTGTGCAACCAAAAAGCATCTGGATATCGTGAGGAGAAACGACCAAATTCTAAATTTGCATCTGGAAAAATATAATTGTCCTCTTGCAGTGGAGACTAAATGATAACGGTAGTGCACTTGAAGCATACTAATATTGTGAAAACTATGTTAGGCATTTTTGATCTTAACCGCCTCATCTATTAATTATTATAATATGCTGTTTGTTTTCCATAAATAAATAATGACTCACTTTTGGCTAAAGAATTATAAGCGTCATTATGACGTACGGTTCGCAACTTCACGAAATAACTCAATGTTGTTGTTATGTGTTTCTTCCGCCACTTCTTAGCACCAGCCGATATGTTGTCCCGGACTTATAATAAAGTAGCCAAACTGGATAAAATGCACTTTTTGATCAAAATCGTAAATCGAATCCGTCAGAATTCCATACAACAAAAAGGCCTTCCGATCACTTTTCGACTAGTTTGCGATTATAATGTGAACTTTGTCTAGACCCACAGGTTAGATTTGGGACTTGTGACCTAAAAAGGGCATATCTTATAATTTGAATGTATTCAGGAGGAGTTGTCGGCGGCGCGCGAGGCGGCGGAGGCGGCGGCGGCGTGGTGGCGCACGCGCGAGACCAAGGCCGACGCCACGCTGCGACAGCAGGCCAAGCTCATCGACTTCCTGCAGGTAACAGCGCTGATTAGGAAGATTGTACTCTCGGTCTCGAAGCTCAGAACTCAATTTATATTTGGTCGCCTAAATTAAAAAAATACTCGTGTTTAAATTAATTACACCGAAATTGTTAAATTCGTAAATTGATAGGCATTCTCGGCTTGAGTCAAGCTTAAATAGTCGAGCCTACGGTTAGTTCATAATAGTCTGATAACAGGCACATAGTTTACATGGCGTAGGAAAATATAGCCTTTTAAACACAATTTTGTTTCAATAACTGAAGGTGACAAAAAAAGAACTGCGCTAAAGCAAACAATCACGGTTCCCCTGATCTTATGCGATGACTAATACTGAACGGATATTTGTAGTTCTGACAACTTATTACAATTTTAGGCAAAAGTAGAAGAGGCAGGTCGAAAAAAATGTTCGTTGAGCAACAAACTTTTCGGACGGTCCGGGCGGAGATCTGCCGCGTCGCCGCCGCTACGCCGGGCTAACAGGTCAGTATAATGCTGCTTCCTATCCAGTTTTACATTTAACAAAAAAGTTAATATTATGAAACTATTTACTTAAGGTACCGCGGTGTCTTTTTTGCAGGGAACTGCGTGAAGAAGTTGAAAGGCTAAGAGCGAAACTCGCTTCGAGAAATGGCGACGTTGAGTGAGTATTACATTATATTTATTATGTATTTGCCTCATATATTGTCAAGAACATAACCTCTGTTATTTATTTCATGTATTAAAAAATTTCATTTACTTGTCAGGTATCCCCCAACTCCTAGAAGAGAGAAACCAAAATCTGCTGTAAATGGGTAAGTTTTTTTAAATTAACAACAGGCATTACTTGTTCTAATAAAGGCTTAAAGACCGGTTCAACTACCACTACCACTCAAAAAGTATTTTTTATTGCAGAAGGAAAAGCATAGATACGCCAGACGGACCTCAAGACAATAATACCGTTCAAGTCGTTTGGTAAGTGATCATAACTATTCACATCTGTCTTATTATTAGTTCCTCACATAACATCTTTAGCGGAAATAATTCACATCACCGATTACGTATTTTACTTTGTAATGTAAGTTTAATGTAACTGGCAATTACTGGTGACTGAGTTTGTTCCGGCGTTTCTTCTCAGCACTTGCCCTATGTTTGTTTCGAAGCGCTGGTAAGGCCCAAAAGATAAGGAGATATGTAAAGTGCTCCATAAGGGCTACCTTTTGGGTATGGGGCACTTTACATTATTTACTATATTTTGACGTTCATAAGTGCCACTTGTGGTCTAAACTGAATACCTAAATATTTTCGATTTTGATTTTTGTCTAATTGTTAGTTAATCTCACCCACACACTTATGGTTTCTATTATAAGTCATTAAGGATCATTGCGTACGCGCAGGTCGGACGGGGTTCGCGAGCGAGCACGTGCACGCGTATCGGGCGCGGCGCTTGTACTGGCCAGCGGCGAGCAACAACTACGGGCCAAACTACTCACGCCAGACGCCGGAGATCTGCCGCAGAACGAGGCCAACCGAGCTTTTATTGTGAGTACTCTATGTTTAGGAAGCGTTCAGACATCTTTCTGCACGAGCAGCAGCTGCCAGGCGAGCTACTTTGTGTGATGGCCATTGTAATAAATGTATCTTTCTTTCTTTCTACTCGTGCCGGATGCCGGCGACTTACCGCAGAACGAGGCTAATCGAGCTTTCGTTGTGAGTGCACCAAGGTTTAGGAAAGTTAGGCAATGCCCAGTTTTGTAGATCACTGTATCCTTGTACAACGAAGGGCGGATATGGGTACCTACGAATAACGTGCGAGATACTGAAGTTTTGCAAATGTGACTTCGATTTCGGTAGATTGTATGTATTCTTTACACCTTAAAACTGACTGTAAAGAATTATTTACTTACTTTGGAACTTCTACCACCAGGTAAAAATGGAAAGTCCAGCCCGATGCGAGCGCGCAGCTATAGTGTGTGGCAGCTTAGAAGACCGACGAGCGTGGTTATCTCGCTTGCAGCCCGCGCCCGCGCCGCCCGGCTACCACCCGTCCTCGCTGTGTCTATTGGATACCGAACCTGCTGCTGCGCTACACGTCGCCGCCAATGCTGTGGCAATAGGTACGTGTTGCTTCTTCCGGCACTAGGTACTTAAGGAGAGCCTTGTTAGGTGCGAGTGTGCGGCTATTGTGTGTGGCAGCTTAGAGGAGCGACGAGTATGGTTGTCGCCTGCAGCCTGCGCCTGTGCCGCCCGGGTCCCGTCCTCGCTGTGCCTGTTGGATACCGAACCCGCTGCTGCGCTGCACGTCGCTGCCAATGCTGTGGCAATAAGTACGTGTTGCTTCTTCCACCACTAGGTACTTAAGGAGAGCCTTGCTAGGTGCGAGAGTGCAGCTATAGTGTGTGGCAGCTTAGAAGACCGACGAGCGTGGTTATCTCGCCTGCAGCCCGCGCCCGCGCCGCCCGGCTACCACCCGTCCTCGTTATGCCTGTTGGATACCGAACCTGCTGCTGCGTTACACGTCGCTGCC